GTAGTAATGTTCTTAAAATTACACTACAAAAATAAGTGTTAAATTTGCCAAAAATAGGCCTACAGATTAAGGGATAGCAGGTAACTACAATCGGATATGATACTGAAAACTTGAATGATTGCATGATAAATCGATATGCATTGACAATTACAAGTTCGGAAATTTTATTTATCATTTGTGCAACAGGTTGAAATGTATAAAAGAAACATTACAGCATTATCTGTTACTATGTTTCTATGGTTCGTGATAATAAGGAAAAGCGCCACCGTGTAGTACCTAAATATGATGAAGAACTACGCACGTTAATATTAGAACTATTTCATAATCAAAGCGAACCATAGAAGTTATCATAAAACGCATTCTGCCATTTCAGAAAACCATATAGGAGGAAACAAATGCACTGCGTGGCCATTAATACAACCCTGCCTGTCGAAGACCTGTTAGGCAAAAAGCAAAATGCATTTTTGCTTTACAGGAAAGAAATCAAAGCGCGGCTCAAGACGGATACAACGAGTCTGGTTCGAAGGTTGCGAGCGAGAGATGGTGCCGTGAAGATATTCGAAAAAAGGCCATCTTTCGCTCGTTAGCAAGGGTTGCGAAAGCCATCTGGAGACGGCGTCAAGACTGCTCTTGCCGAAATAAATTGCAAGAAAGAACCCCTTCGGAGAATACGGTCGAAGAAATTGCATTCGTCGCCGGTCGTACAGTCCGTCCCAGACATTCCTGAACTGCTTAACCCACTATTGTTTCACTCGTTAGCAAGGGTTGCGAAAGCCATCTGGAGACGGCTTTGTGCTTTCCGTCAAGACTGCCCTTGCCAAAATAAACCGCAAGAAAGAACCCCTTCGGAGAATGCGGTCGAAGAAATTGCATTTGTCGCCGGTCGTCCGTCCCAGACATTCCTGAGCTGCTTAACCCACTATTGTTTCACTCGTTAGCAGGGGTTGCGAAAGCCATCTGGAGACGGCTTTGTGCTTTCCGTCAAGACTGCCCTTGCCAAAATAAACCGCAAGAAAGAACCCCTTCGGAGAATGCGGTCGAAGAAATTGCATCGCCGCCAACCTCTTCTACTACAACTATGTTCATCGAAAAAAATCCGACAACTTTCTTCAACTATACGCAATCGAATTACAGAATATGGACCATCCGCAGAAAACTTGCCGTCAAACTACCCAATGTACACAATCGGTGATGAGAGCAATGAAAATATGACTTACGGAAAACGGCCATGCTTTTATGAATAACAATATGGAAAACAATTATAATTTTATGAATAACAATAACTACAAAGAGAAGACCGATATGTTGCCAATTGTGTCGAGAGCCCATGGAAACATATCCAAATTGACCTCGTAGACTTCCACGAGTTCGCAGAAAGCAACGATGAATTTGCATGGCTATTAACATGTGTCTGCACGAGTGGTTAACACGCCTCCCTGTCACGGAGGAGATCGCGAATTCGATTCTCGTCAGGACCGCCATTTGTATTATTTAATGATTAGAATAAAAATTAATAAAGAAAAAAGTCCTGAAAATTCTTTTCTTTTTTTTAAGAAATTATCTTCTTGGTTTCGAATGAAAAGTCTTAGGCCCCACCAGCAACATTTCAAAGGGATAATTTGTTGCTGACGTCACCTCACAGGTTTGCTACATTATTGGGATAACAATCAAACATGGCCGCCCTCGTCCAAGGCCAAGTATTGCCTAAACAAGGTTGATGATGCCAATCTCCCCAATTTTCTCTCATCATGACCTGACTACCAAGTATCTTACGTTACTGTCATTTTATAACAATGCCACGTACCCCACGCACAGTATTTACCCAAGAACAGATCGATATTCTCAGACAGAAATTTGCAGAAGGCATGATCAATCACAATGAAGTGAGTCTGATCGAGGCAGCAGCCTCAGAAACAGGCCTTACCACCAAAATTGTGATTTTACGGAAATACTGGGAAGAATACGGAGTTGGAACAATTATATCAGATTGTAAGATAAATGAGATATTGGAGGAGCTTTTAATAATGGTGCTCATTCATAACTTATAAACTCGAGAAATTTACAAAAATTATCATAAACGATCAGTTGACAAAAAAGATCTAATACTAAAGCTACACGAAACTGACTGGGCCCCCAACGATAGCTACGATGCCATATGTTGGTCTGATGAAGCATGGAGTACCGTTACTGAAACGACTATACGAAAGTGTTGGACATTCTTCCTGATACCTGATACGGACGCGCTGGAAATTGATAGTACGGCAGCAGCAATGCAACAAGACATTGACATGCTTGAGATCGATGAACCGTTGCCGGCCGCAGAGTTTATTACTATCGATAATGAAGTACCAATCGAACACCTTGATGATGATAAGAAAGCAGCTGAACCACAGCCCACATATTTCTTTAAAGTTGGTGCTAGAAAATGTGGATAATCTATTGCAGTTGATCAATAATCATCCAAAAGAACTTCTTTTTGATCCGAATTCGTTTGTTAGTTTTAATTCATGCCAAAATGTGATGCATATAAACCATAACGGGATTAATATAGCTGTTGTTTCCATTTTCCATAATGATAACTCTAAAAATGCAGCAAAAATTTATTATTATCCATGAATTCAGACATAGTAATAAGTCACAGCAGTCCCACATGATCAAATGTTCACTTTATCTGGTTTTGTTGTAGTCTATCCAAATTAAATAAAAATTACATAATAAAGTCTAGTTTTTGTCAATTCTCTTCTTCCGCTCTCCAATATCCACTTTTCCCACCGCTCTTTTCGATCAATCTAATATCCTCAATAACCATACCCTTTCCCGCACTTTTACACATATCAAACACAGTCAAGGCAGCCAAACTAACGGCGGTCAATGCTTCCATTTCAACGCCTGTTTTTCCCTCACATTCAACTTTTGCCTCTATTTCAACGGCATTCGTCTCTTCGTTCAATTTCAAATCTACTTGCACATGATCCAGGTTCAACGGATGACATAATGGAATGAGGTATCCCGTTTGTTTGGCAGCATTGATGCCGGACAGGCGAGATACAGTTAAAACATCACCTTTGGAGAAAGAATGTAAACGAAGAAGCGTGAATATTGCATCAGGGAGAACAATACGACCTCGGGCAATTGCTGTGCGATGCGTCTTGGATTTTGCAGAGACGGATACCATTCGCGGTTCCGATGTCTTGTCGTCAATGTGAGAAAGGGAAGGGGATTGATTGGATTGATCAGAGGATGAGGATTGAGATAAAGGAGATACGGGAGAATTTTTCGTTGAATAAGAGTTATGCGGAGTAAATGATGTTAAAGTAGGGGAAGGAAGCGTCCGGTACAAAGGAGATGAATAAATAAAGGTCAGTGGAGAAAATAACGGATATTTGGAAGGTTGAAAGTGTAGAGGAAAGTAACGTGGTCGAGTATTAGGTGAAGCTGATAATAAGGTTGTTGGTTGTAGTTGCGAATGAGACACTATATCGATCGCTGAGTGATAATAATGAAGATTTGTGAGGCATGCTTAATCATTCTTTGAATATTATGGTCCAAATTGATATAAATTCAATGTTAATACATGCTTATATTAAATTCACCCCGTTCACATCCCATTTATCTCAATACTCACCAAACACATGTCACATATCCATCGTCATCCTCCAATAAGTATCATGGGCCTATTTTTCGTCCTTGCCAATTCAAACATACCTGCGTGCTGTTTCTTCTTGTTTTTGACTGCGATTTCAATGATTTCCAACAGTTGCTTCTCGGAGACATTTTGTCGAATTAAATCACGCAGGCTTATTTCGGCATTCCCAAAGAGGCACACTTTTAAATTACCATCAGCAGTGATACGTAGTCTGTTACATGTGCCGCAAAAGTGATCGGACATTGAAGTGATGAAACCTATTCGACCTGCAA